TCCCTGGTAGGGGGTGTGCAAGAGGCAGCTGATTGATGTTTCTCTCTCATCGACGTTTCTAGCTATCTTTCTCCCTTTCTCTCTGTAAAGAATCAATAAAATATATTTTAAAAAAATCTCACCTTGTTCCTGTACAGTCACATCACATGGTCTCATCACTTCCTTCTTCCTTACTAGCAACACTCAGCACAATTCCCCAGGCCTTAGACAGCTCAACAACCTGCTGATACCGCCCTTACCACTGAGCTACTGGGGCCAGTGTCTCTGTAGGACATTCAGGAGGGGGACCCGGTTCTCTCACAGCCCCTTCCGCGCTGGCTTTTGGTGGCTCAGTCACGCTGCGCCTACTGGGCATCTGTCACCAGGCTCTCTCCACGGTTCTGCTTGGCTTTCTCATCTCCAGACATACTGTTCCAATTTATCCACCACTCAGTAGACATGTGTGGCGCTTCTATTGTGCGCCAAGAACTAAGATACCAGGACAGGCCTAGGCCTCCGTTTCCTCAGCCCTCTAAGGGGATGACAGCAGCACCCCCCTCCCAGGGGGCTGAGAGAACTGAAAAGAGGTCAGGCACAGTGCTCTTAGCTGTCAGAACAGAAAGCTGTGCTGGGTTCACTGTCCTGCAGACACACAGGGGCAATGGGAGGCCAAGGGAAGCCTCACTCTCTGTGCTCTGCCGGGAGAGGAGGTCAGTAAGTCTCTGCTGGGAGGGGGCTAAGGCTGCTCCTCTGAGAGCCATACTCTGGCCGCCGCTGCCGCTGTCCTCCCACAGCTCACAGTGCTGCCGCTGCACCACCACACCCAGGCCTTCTAGAAAGATCCACAGAGCAGGCTGCAGGGCCCAGCACCAAACACGTTATGTGGGGAATAAACTAAAGGGAACTAGCAGCATGGAGCTCTGGGGCTGGGGGTGGGGAACTGCTCTTTCAAGAGACCTTTGTCCCCACCCCAGAGGCGGGTCTATCGCACAGAACCCCGCTGAGTCTCAGGGAGGTGCGTTTAGAAGATGGATGCTTTTCTCAGGAAGATGAGGGAAGGGTTTCCCGGATTCTTCCACACAGTGTGTGTGTGTGTGTGGGGGGAGGCCAGGGGCTGCTCTGCCTGGCGGCACTTTGGGGGAAGACCAGGTTACACAGCCACTTCCAGCCCCACCCCCACCCCCTTTTTCTCTTCCATGTGATTTATTTTGCTAGAAGGTACTTTTGATGCTTTCTTCTTTCCAGATATAGCTTTTAGAATGACTATTTGCACACGTCAGTCAGTGTTTGTGTTCATGGTTAGAGGTTATTTTTAAGGGTGGAATTTCTAACACTATACCTTTCCATCACATTTAGGAATCCTTAACTTTACCCCCTAGGGCAGAACAAGAAATAACGTCAGGAATTATTTCTGGACTCTTCCCAGCCTAACAACAGGCCCGAGCTTGTGTCAGTGTGTCAGCTGACTCCTGACATTGGTGAGTAAAATGGAACCTCTTTAACGTTTTTGCTATTAAAAGATGAAACTTTCAGGTCATTGTGAATTATATTCTAGAGGTCAGGCGCTCCTCGGCTGACAACAGATAAATTCGTACTTTCTCATTTCCCAGTTCTGGGCAGTGGTTATGCCCCCTCACCCCTTACTTCCTATGCAGCACTAGCCTCCATCCCTCCCACCCCAGACCTATTTTCCATGGCAGATATCTTTGTTATAATAGACATCACAAATACAATGATCACATGATATTGTGATTGGTTTACCTATCTGTCTAATTCACTAGACCAGGCGTCTTCAAACTACGGCTCGGGATTAAGGATGTTTCTCCTTTAGCCACTTCTAATTGCTGTTGATATCTCTTCCGCATAATGGAGCTGCGAGCTGAGTCATCGCTGGGTTTTTTCCGCGGCCGGATCTGGCTGCTCTGCAGAGAAGGAGCTGAAGGTTTTGTGCAGTCATTGTTCCGGAGATCAGCTCTGGAAGGTGGGCGGCAGGAGGGGGCTGGCAACTCCAAATTCCTAGTCTTCAGAAAACAAGCAAGCTGTTTCTTTGCGACACCCATTGCCCTTCTAGAACAGTCTCTGGTAATGCAGGATTAGGAAAAAAAATCAAGGATGAGATTGAAATCAAACAAGAGGCCTGGAGGGGATCCAGGTGTGGCTGGCCTCTGGACCCCAGAGCCAAATACAGAGGGCCCCAGAAGCTTCTCTCTGAGGAAGCCTGGCCCTAAAGGGAAGGATTCGGCCATTCTCTGGAGGTGTCTGGCCTTGGTGTGAGTCTGGGGATTAGGCAGAGCCCTCATTCTAAATCCAGCATCTTAGACTGCTCGGCAACGCTACCTGCGTGCTCATTCTAAATTACTGCTACTTTAGTCCTTTTGGGTGCTCTGCCTCCTTGAAGGGAAACCAGGATCTAAAATCGCCCATGTTCTCCTCCCATCGCTTTGTTCACCGCATTTTGTAGAATTAGATCACTTCTGTCATCTAATCTCATTCTACACCGAGAAAAATTGCTGAGAAGTTATTTGGGTTAGTGCCCAAGGTCACCTTGGTGTTCCTCCCTGAGTGATTGGACCAAGGACCTCCTATTTTTAGGCTGGGCTTTTTGAGGGTGGGGGAAGGGAACATGAGACAATCAGCTAAAATGGATTTGCCCTCTAAATTTGTATCTTTAGGCTCAAAGGAAGACTAGATTTTTAGACTGAGGAGGATAACAAAGTACCAGGGGAGAGGGCACCAGCTATCAACCAGACATTCCAAAGTTAATTGGAACATGGATGCAGGCAAGGGGAAAAATGCCTTGAAAAAATGCAATTTAGTTAAAGATCTTAAATCGAAGAGTTGAGAGAAGGCACATATTAATCTCATCAAAGAACATGGTGATTTTACCATCTTGTTTAAATCAATATATAAAGGAGGGGAGGTAGGAATCGGAATATTGTAGAGACTGTTTTGTGAAGCAAAAGCCAGGAGAGATGAAGGCAAGCAATGCTTGGGCCTGAACAGTAAAAACAGGAGTTAGTGTCCATATCATCTCTAAAATATTTTTCATTTACCAATCAGGAAAGAAAAATTAGAATTTTCTCTCTGGCCTTGGCAAGCCATCTCTTAGCTGAGCTGCTTTCAGATTCTCCCTTTCCTCAAACCCAAGGAGAATTAATCAAATAATATACAACCATTTTCACAATATGAGAAAAATGCTATATTCTGTAACGGGAATGACTAGTTTAGGGACATTCTATACATTATTTTAAGCACTTTAGTGCTCTTAACGTTCACCTCATGGGCTCCAGAGTGGGACAAAGACCATAGATAACAGGGGCCCGGAGGCTGACAAGTCCTGGGAGACCGTGAGTAGGGGGCTGGGAGCTGAGGAGGGAGGCACCATTAAGTCTAAATTCTGGGATTCAAGAATAGGTTCTAGTACTAATGAGCTGCATCTGATTTTAGGCAAATCACACACTCCCCAGACTCCCCAATCCCCATTTGTAAAAGGAGGTGACTCAGTGTTCCTTCTTTCAGTGCTAAACTTCTGTAAAAATTTTCCAGTCCCAGAGCAGACATCAAGACGTGTCTGAAGGGAACCATCTGCCTCTCAGTAACATTCCACTCTGGATGGAAGCGGGGAGGAGAAAAGAGGGGAAGATGAAACCAGGTCCCTCAGGAGCTGCTGACATGAGCCCTGATTCACTGGGGGTGCGGGAGGGGAGGGGTCTGCAGGAGGCAGCGCCCTCACTTGCTAGAGACCCCAGGCCAGGTCCCCAGCCCTTTCACAACCACTGCCACTTACAGGAGCCGAAGGGGTTTTAAAAAGAGCGTTGATTTTATACAGTTCCTGTCTTTATTTATTCAAAATTGTTTATTTTCTCTTACTGTTTTAAACTTATAATAATGTAGTCTTTTGAATTCTGTGTTTCTCACAGTACTTGTATTTCTTATTCAAAATTGTTTATTTTCTCTTACTGTTTTAAACTTATAATAATGTAGTCTTTTGAATTCTGTGTTTCTCTCTTACAGTACTTGTATTTCTTATTCAAAATTGTTTCAGTCCCTGTCTTTATTTAGTTGCCATTCTAACCTATATCGGGTCACTAACCTCCATCTTCCCCTCTTGGAATTTACTGCCTAAAGACGTGCCATTTTAGATATTAAATGGATGACTGACAAAGGAAGAAAAAGCAGGCCCAGGCTGGAAACGGAAGGGGGGACCGGGAGGAGGGGCGGCCAGGAAGCCCGCGCCCCGCTCCCCTCCCCCACAGCCCTCCCAGGCCGAGCACGAGCCCTGGGGGCGGGGCGCGCCTGCGCAGTGGCGCGCTGCGCCAACCGCCGGCTCCGCGAGGCTGCTCGAACCTGCTGGAACCGGCTGGAACCGGTGACGCCCGCCCGGAAGCCAACACCTCACAAAGGCAGGCGGCGGCTCACCGCCCGCGTATCCCTGCGCGGGGCCGGCGTGGGTGGGGGCCGGGCCGCGCCCCTCCCCCGCCTCGCCCGCCGCCCAGGCCTTCCCGCCCGCGGGGGCCGGAGCTGAGGGGGCTTCCACAATCTGAGGAAAATGAAGTCCTTGAGCCCCCGCCCCGGCCGCCTCACCGGGTTTTGCCCTCCCTGTGCGGCCACTGTGGCCGCGTGGACGCCTGTGAGGGGAGCCCGGTGCCACTGTCCCCGCTCCCTCAGGCCTCGCTGGGGAGGCCCCGGGGTTGCCAGGTCCCCGTCCGGAGCCGGGCTCAGTGGGGAGACATGGGGGAGAGGGGGGTAAAAAGAAAACCCAGCTGCAGGGAGGCAGGCCTGTTAGAAGCTTCCTTCCAGCGCGAAGTCGGTGTGTTAAGAACGCAGCCAGACCGGAGGCGACAGGCTGTGAGACGAGCCCCGAAAAGCGCCTCCTCAGCAGCGCTGCCAGCTGCCCGGCATGGCCGCCAAGGTCGCCGCGTCTTCGGAGGCGACCCTCGCTCTTCGGGCGGCTTAGGGGCGCTGACACGCAGTGTGACAGCGGGTTTGGGTTTTGAGAGAAAAGCCTAGGGACACAGGGAGGTCCGCTTTGGGGAACTGCTAGCGCAGGCTCGGTTTGGTGTCTCAGCGGGCAGCCAGAGCCAGGGCCCAGCTGCAGGCGGGCACACGCAGCGGGAAGCGTTAACATAACCGGAGCCGCACGGTGCCTCCGAGGGCGGGAGCGCTGGTGGCCGCCGACCCTGTTGCCGGGACAGCAGTCTTGTGTCAGACATCTTCTCTTAGTGCGATTGTTAAGCAGATAATCCAGATTTCTCAAATAAAAGGGCGATCAGAACGCGGTATAACCCCAGAACCAACTCACAGGACGTGGGCAGTTTTGGGGAAAACCTCAGCACTTTGCCAAAATGGCTGCTGTCTCTGTTACGTAATGAAAACCCGTATTAGCCTGCCTTCAGGAAAGCACTAACCAGTACCTACTGAACTTCGAGGAGAGGTGCTTTCAAAGCTGCTAAAAAATTCCCAAGCGATGGCTCTGAGGTTTGGTGAGCTGCTTGATGGTGGACCTAAAAGTGATTTCCATTGTTTTTGCCCAAATGTTCAGCTCAAATCTACTTGCTAATGAGTCACAAATATCTCTGGGTACATGGTTTGCGATTATTTTGCATAAACGGTTAGGAAAAAACTAGAAAAGCTTGTAAGCCAGATTCTATTTTTAACCTTTCCTAGGGACTACTTTTGCTTCCCTCACAAAGGCTGCGGAGGGTTACTGAGTGCCAACAGTGTGAGTTGTCCCTCGCCCATAAATACGCCTCTCCCGGCTCTGCGGCAGGCATTCAGGCAGCGAGCGCAGAGGTGACTGCTGAGGCTGAGGCGCTACTTGAGGAAACCAGATAAGTCTATTCTATTAAAAAGAGATAGAAAATAATATTATTTAGGAAATGTAAATAGCGAAGGTGCTTACTGAGATATTGCTTAGCATTAATATTTTAACCTTTATAACAAAGATCTTATTTAAGGGAAAATATAATGAAGGCTTGCCTAAAAAGTAGTTTCAGAAAGGAAGAGAGAAGAAAAATATTTCCAGAACATGAAACTTCTTTACGAAGTAAAAATCATTTTCAAGAAAATGGCTGATAGGATTGCAAAAGCCTAAACTCAAATGGAAGGGCAAACTAAAAATACCATTAAACCGTAGGTGACAAAATTGTCATTTAAAGAAAATTGGAGATGGTTAAACTATATATTAAATGCCGTATTTAAAAGAGAAAATTGAAGGTGACTTAAGAGAGACCTTCAAATTCATGACGCAGGAAAGATTGTCCTGTGAAGCCAAATTGCTCTTACGGCATTATTAGCGCAAGATGGGGCAATTGTTAATTTAAAAGTCAGATAAAATTTTGGAGAAAGATTAGAAATTTGAAATGGAAAACTTGGAAGACAGAAGTGTACAGGAAGGTGAAGAAAAAGGCTTAGAGAAGACAGAAAAATAGAAGATAAAACGTATTTTAGAAGACAGAAAAACTAAGTCCAAAAGGTAGAAAGCAGAAGAGAAAGTATTGAGACAAACTAACCAAAGCAACTAAGGGCACAGATACAAATGTAGAAAACCAGAAGATAGAAAACGAAGATACAGATTTAATAGAAAATAGAAAATGAGAAGATAAAATTTTTTAGCAGAAAAATGGAAGATAGAAAATGAGATACAGATTAAGTAGAAAAATAGAAAATGAGAAGATACAAGTTTAGAAAAATAGAAGATTAGAAAATTAGAAGATAAAGTTTAGTAGAAACAAGATAGAAAATGAGACAGATTAAGTAGAAAACAGAAGATAGAAAATGAAGATACAAGTTTAGAAAAATAGAAGATAGAAAATGAGAAGATAAAAGTTAAGTAGAAAAACAGAAGATAGAAAAAATGAGACAGATAAGTAGAAAAATAGAAGATAGAAAATGAGAAGATAAAAGTTAAGTAGAAAAACAGAAGATAGAAAAAATGAGACAGATAAGTAGAAAAATAGAAGATAGAAAATGAAGATACAAGTTTAGAAAAATAGAAGATAGAAAATGAGAAGATAAAAGTTAAGTAGAAAAACAAGATAGAAAGTGAGAAGTAAAAAATAGAAGATAGAAAAATAGAAGACAGATTAAGTAGAAAAATAGAAGATAGAAAATGAGAAGATACAAGTTAGAAAAGTAGAAGATAAACGAGAAGATACAAATTTAGAAAACTAGAAGATAGAAGGTTGTCAAGAAAAATATTTCAGCTAAAAGATAGTACAGGAAAAAAGGAGGAAATTAAATTTTTAATAATTTAATAAGAATTATAAAAGCCCATGAGTTTAATTTCTGGTGGTGCAGAGTTAGCTTTGAGAAGACGACGTTGCTTAAATTGCTGTAGAACAGGACAAATTTAGAAGAATACCCGGAAATTAGAAGGGAAATAGGCTAAAAAAATGTTCTAAAAGGACTGAAGTGATTTTAAAACTAAGGGTAGGAAGACTAAAAACTTGAAAGGCTTAAATACATTAGCTTAGTTCTCTCCGGAAAATTTAAAGGACTTTCATAACTGAAGTAATTCGAGATCAAGAATAATCAACTTAACGCTTTGGTTTGGACTGAGCTCAGAGGATTTAACCCCGAGGACTAGCGTTACTTGTCAGCTGACCAGGTGCCCCCGAAGTGGATTCAGTGGAGCTAGGAAGACAGGAGCGGCAGACAGGAGCCCAGGAGCGGGGTGAAGCTAGGACTGAGCCGCCAGCGGCGTTCGAAGATAGGCCAGGAGCCGGGAGCCAGTGCCTGGAGGAGCTAGCGCGGAGGAGGAGCGCTGGAGGCGCAGCTAGGAGAGGCTCCGGGGAAGGAGCAGCAGCCAGTGCGGTGTTGACGCCGGCGTGCGGCTTGGCGACCACGCGGAGGCGGCGAGCAGGCGTGTGCAGAGGAGGCTGGAGGCTAGATAGCGGAGCCTAGAGCAGCGGGCGGCCCAGTGCGAGGCCGCGTGCGGGCGGCCAGTGGTGGTCAAGTCCGGGAGGTCGGCCGCGTCCTGGTGTTGGTAACGAGTCTGGTAACCTTTGCTTTATAATGGTAATGGGGGAGTTGTGCTACGCGGCCAGGGCTTATGGAATGTAGGCCGATTTCCGGGTGTTGTAGGTTTCTCTTTTTCAGGCTTATTTTCTCATGCATCTTGTCTGAAGCTTTTGAGGGCAGACTTCCAAGGCCCGGAGGAATGGTAGATGGCAAGTTTTATGGTTTTTGTCTTTTAACCAATTTGAGGGAAACATGAATTGAGACAAAATTAAGGCAAGGTTTGTAAGCGGCTTTTTAAATTTATTTTTTATTTTTTTAGTAGCTTGGGGTAATGAAACATTTGAGTTTTGTGAATGTCAAGTTTGGGCGTGTATGGGGGGAAAGTTTTTGTGTGGGGGGGGCAAAATGTCTTGAGTTCTTTTCCCTTAGGTCTGTCTAGAATCGCAAAGGCAAATGACTCAAGGTAACAGAAAAAAAGAAAATCCAGAATCAGGATAATCAGAACACCACAGGTTTACAGTTTCTAGAAATTAGCACGAGCAGTTCTCACTTTGAGGTCTGTGGAGGAGCGTGCATTGGAAAAGTGGCTGGTAGTTATTCTTTTTTTCCACCCCATAATCAGATTTTTAAAAGTATGTAATCCTTAAAACTTTATTTGAAGTATTTCGGGGTGTTCTTCACAGGGAAAGGGGTGGGGGGAGCAAAATGTTTTTTTCTAAGATTTTCCACAGATGCTCTAGTGCTATTGACAAACGGGGGTAGAGGAGGATTGGGCCGATATGCTGTTGGCAACACCGCCCTTAGGGATTGGAGCTGCTTCTCTTGGAAGAGTATTCCCAGTTGAAGCTGAAGGTACAGCACAGTGCAGCTCTGATTCACACTCAGTCATCTCAGGAGAACTTCAGAAGATCTTGACTAGGCCAAATGTTGAAGTTAAGTTTTCAAATAATGTGACTTTTAAAGTAACCTTTTATTAAAAGGGGAGGGGCAAATTTTGGCAATTAACCTTTGTCAGTAGCTTGTAATGGTGGGGGTTGGGAGGGTGGGGTTTAGGTAATTGTTTAGTTTATGATTTCAGATAAACTCATGCCAGAGAACTTAAGTACTTAGGATGAAAAAAAACTAAGAAATCTCAACATCCATGTTGGCAAGTAACTCCCAATCTTCAAGTTTTTGTTTTCCCCTCAATTTTTGAATTGAGCAGCTGGGAAGTTTCATGAAGATCCACTGGATTCCAAATGTAGGGCCTGGGAAGGAAAGTGTTGGATGGGGTTGGTCTAGCCCACTGGGCTGACAAAAATAATGTCTTGGGAATTTTTTGAACACTTAAGTTTGGATATGGTAGTGTGTTGGTTCTCTTTTGGAATTTTTTTCAGGTGGTTTAATAAAAGTTAATGCTATAGGAGCTTCAGAGCAGAGGAAGTGGCTTAATGATCCTGAAGGGATTTCTTCTGATGGTAGCTTTTGTGTTATCAAGTAAGACCCTATTTTTAATTGTACATAAGCAAGTGTGTTTCTTTAGTGTAGGAAAATATTTCTCCTTTGACTGCAAAACAAGATGTTAAGGTATGCTTTAAAATTATTGTCAATTGTATATTTTTTATGTTTGCATCCTAAGTATTTGTAAATCATAACTGCTAAAAGAAAGGGTGGGCTTTGTTGATGAGGGAGGGGAAACCTTTTTTTTTCTGTAGACTTTTTTCAGATAACATCTTCCGAGTCATAACCAGCCTGGCAATAATGATGGCCTAGATGGAGAGGGAACAACTCCTTGGTGAATGATAAGTAAAAGCAGAAAAGATTATATTTCATACCTTCATTGGGGAAAAGGCATAACCCTGAGATCCTAACTACTGATGAAAGTATTGTCTGCATATGCCAAAAAAGCAAATGAAAGCTACCAATTTAAAGTTAATGGAATCTACCATTTTAAAGTTACGGCTTATCAAGCTTATACTCACAAAAAAAATGAATCGAGAAATTAAATAATGAATTGAGAAATACAATGAAGATCATATGTCCATCTCAAAATACTGCTTTTACAAAAGCAGAATATAAATGAAATGAAAATGATAATACTACATAAATCCCGGAATAAAGGAAGCTGAAATAATTCAGAGGAGTTGGGATCAAGTGGATTCAGAGGAGAGGAGGCTGTGCTGTTTGCCAATCTTTCGTTTGCCTCAGACAGGTTCTCTTGTTATCTGAAGAGTTGCTTCATTCCATCTGGGAGCAGGAAACAGCAGGCAGCTGTTACAGATAAGTGTAACTTGCATCTGCAGTACTGCATGTCAGGCTGAGTGCTTATGTCTATCAGCTGTGGCGGTCTTACGCCCCCTCCTGGTCCTGTCCCCGAGGACTCCAGGGTGGTGAGGAATTCCCATCAGCCTGGTTAAGGTTAGACAGGACTTTACCTGTGGGCTTCCATGATGGGATAGAACCTCACTCAGGCAAGTTAATTCTGCAAGCCGCTCCAGGTCAGTACTTACTAAAATTGAATTTTTTGTTTAGCACTGAATAATTGAAAAACACTATGAAAGGATAGGATAAGATGCGTTGTTAATCAGATGTTAATCTTGCTTGAAATTTAAAAGTTGTGTTGTATGTTGTGCAGAAAACCATTAAATCGTTCAAAATAAAACATATTTAATAGATAATGTATGCTTTTAGGAAGCAGCTGTCTCCTTATTTAAATAAAGTACTGTTTGTTTTGTGGTTAGTGTTGGGCAATCTTGGGGGGATTCTTCTCATCTTTCAGAGACTTTGCGAACACTTTAATGGACAAGATCAGGAATTGAGCAGAAGAAGGACTTGTAACTCTTAAGGCAGGAAACACAAATTTTATTCTTCATAAATTGATGAGCATTTAATAAGGCACATGGCAATAGAGGGCCTCTAAATAAGGAGTAAATACCTCTTAGGACAGGTGGGAGATAATCAGAAAACCAGGTAACTGCACCTACACTGTTTCCAGACAGTCCAGGGGCCTATAAACTTAGAGCAATAAAATACTGTTCCCAAAGTTTGCATGTTAACTTCATTGCTTCTGTCCATCTCACCCAGTGTTAGCTGATGTTCACATATTGGCCTCTATGGAGACACGAGTGGGGCATGTGGGTTTTTTAAGAATTTTCCTTTGCAGAGGCTTCATTTCATCCATCCCTCATGAAGCTGGTCAGGACTTTGACTTGCATCTAGTGCTTGGCTCTGCCTTCTGTCCTAGTGTGTGACCTTGCAGTGAGTTCTCCGCACTCTCTCCCCTCTGGGTCTTAGGGAGGGGAGGGCGGGCTTACTTGTCAGCTTTTTTTTTTACAGACTACACAGAATGCGGTTGTCTTGACCTCAGGTCTGTCTGTTCTGTTGGCAAGTAACGCAGTACTGTTCTGACCGCTGCTATTAGAATGCGTTGTGAGACGACTGGAGTATGATTAAAGCTGTGTTTGTCCGATGCTTGGAGTAGTGATTGTTGAAGGAAAACCCAGCTGAGTGATAAAGGCTGTGTGTTGAGGACGTTCTGCAGCTTTAAGTATTCATGTTTGTGATTGAAGCCGAGTACCTTTTGCTGTGCTTTAGGTAAAATGCTTTTTGTTCTTTCCTGGCATGGGGGTGGGGGGCACTGAAGCCTTTAGTCTTTTCCAGATGCAACTTAAACTCTGACAAGACATAACCCCCAAACAAGCAAGTCTTCAAGAAATGTACCTGGCAAGTGGAAATGTTCATACAGTTCAGTGGTCTCAGTGCATTGCTTGTGTGGGTTTCTCTCTCCCCTCCCCTGGTCTTAATTCTTACACACAGGAACATGCAAAACAGCAGACGTATGCGAAGGGCCAGAGAAGCCAGCCCCAGTAAGGAAAAATAGCTTATTTACTTTAAACAAACAAATATTCCGTGTTCTGTGTGGGGATTGGGAGCCATAGTTCTTTCAGATTGCACTCTTCAGACTAGGAGCTCCAGTGCACTCACCAGTGGACAAAATGAGGACACCAGGTGACCGAGCCTTTTCTGTATCATACCGAGTCAGTGACGGGAACGTAGTGTGGAGTAGACTTCAGCTTCATGCTGGAGCACGTTGTTGGCCTGGGGGCGGAGGGGTGAGGTGGGCGCTAAGCCTTTTTCTTTGAGGTTTTTCAGGTCTACCTCACTAAGGCACCGAAGGCTTAACTAGGACAACCCGGAGCCTTCCTGTGGCAAGAGACAACAAAGCGCTATTGTACTCAGGT